ATTATTAATTATTTTTTATTAATTAAATTAAATAACATTAATATTTTTAAAGATAATATTTTATAATTTTAGTGATCATAAACATTATTATTAGTTAGTAACCACCCAAAATTTTGTGCACGGTTCATGATTGGATTAAAAAAAAATTCCAAGCGATATTTTTTACTTTGGGGTTCGGCCTAAACGCAGAGTGGGTTTTGGTAAAAACAGAATTTGAACGAGCCTATCCCAATTTCCCAATTCCGACCGTATCAAATCAATTGGGCTCAACATGGGCCTTTCTACGGACATACAGATGCAGGTTAGTAGATTTTAAGAGCTGGGCAAAGAGTTTGGGCCCAAAAGTCCAGCCCATCAACAGGAGGCACACATTTCAAAACTTGGGCCTGAGGTTGCCGGCCTATTATAAAAGCAAGAACACCCAAAAATTGGAATAGGTGGCAGGTCAAATCTTTAATAATTCATCATACATGATTGAGCTGCAAAACCTTCTCCGTCGTCTAGTGGGTATTTTTCTCTTTTAAAGGATTTTTCATATTAAGTTTTGATAAATGTGGATTCGACTTTCACCCTTAACATCAAAAATAAAAAAAATAATCCCTATTTAAATTGAATTCTTTTAATTTAAAGAGTATTTTTTTAGTTGTTTTATTAGAACAATTTGAAGATTTCCTAGAAGAAAAATGAAATGAAGTTTAAACATTGGGAGCTCTCCCTTCCCAGGATTATGCTTCTTAGGAAACTCTCTTAGAAATCAATTTTGAAAACTTTATTTGAAAGCACTTCTATAAAAGTTTTAATTAGGCCAAACAAACTCTCTATTGTCCCCTCTATAAGCAGTCAATTATTTAGGTGGTCAAAACACAACAAACAATCAATCAATCAAATCCCTCTAAGCAACAAAGCTCCACTTCATTTTCATTAAGATTAAACCAACCCCCTACAAAGGAAATAAATAAATATAAATGAAACATTTCCAAAGTATCCAAGGGGAAACATGTAGGGTCTGCATAAGATGTTAAGTAGCTATTCCTCCCCACAAATCTCATAATTTGGTTCTCTCTTTTAACGAAATTTAATAACTGTACAAGTTGTGCAGGTCCAGTAGGTAGATTTGTCAGGATGCCATTATTAACTTAGCTATTGCTTATTCCTTTTATATTTTCCCTCTAATTTTGCTTTCCTTGTGGGGTCTTCAAATGCAGGAAATAGGACACAGTTTCACGGGGACCTCGAGTCCTGGCTCCCAGCCCCTACCCATTTTTTAAATTTTCCTATCAAGGATGGCTTGTTTTGTTACCATTTTTTGCTTTGAGATTGATGTAGGGGTGTGTCGTGTTGGTATTTTGTCGAAATCGAGTCAGTTTCTGATATCATGTTAAAAGATTTTTTTTATTATTATTATTATTGATATCATGGTGGTTGGGTGATTTGGGTTTGAATATCCGTACTGCTTATGCATGGACCTTGGGAGTTGCATAACCCTTCTTTCAGGTCTACAATAAAGTCCGGGGACCCATGAACCAACTTTGACATAGCTTAGAGTTCTGAATTCTGTGATCTCCATGGGCCCAAACGGCCATAACAGTGTTACTACGAGCTAGGCAAAATGGTGGTGCACCTGGGTAAGGGTCCGGCTCCCCCATCCAGTCCTGGCCCCAATTATATAACGTTCCAAAAAACCAGAGAAAATCTACTTAATTGTCTTAATGCATGCACAGGAATAGACCAGCCTGGTAATCATATCCCTTGGAAAAAAGATTTTATAGAGGCCAGGAAAGTTTAAAACTGAGCAATCAATCAGTATTGTCTGCATCAACCTAGCATAATAAGAGGGTTATTAGTGTTAGATCTTCAAATTTTTGAAAAAACAAGTTGTGAATACATAAAGAATTGATGGGGAAGTCAGAGGAAAAGGAGAAAAAGAAAGGAAAGGATATTAGGGAAGTTGCTTTCAAAGCACTATGCTTTTCATATTTGAGGAAAAATAAATAAATAAATAAAGAGATTGATATTAATGTCATCCCAATTTTTAGGAATGGTTTTCTTAATTTTCAAGAAAATGTTTCTTCATAT